TGCCTTCGGTCGAGCGATCCAGCGGGACACCCTTCTATCCACCCATTTAGAGGTTGCAGCCAGACTCCAGGATGCCGAGGCAAGAACCCTGGCAACCGAAGACCATCCCTCGAAAAATCAACAGGAGGGTCGCGATGGGCGCCAGATCTGGAGAACCCAGCAAGCACCGCCACAGATCTGCCGAAAGGAGAGGTAGGCCGCCGGATCTGCAAGCAAACAAGAAAAAAGAAAAGCAGAACCCAAGAAACCAAAGCAGAAAACATAAACCATAAAACAAAAAGAGCCACCAAAGGGGCCACAAAACCGACAGGCCACAAAGAGCCATCGGAACAAGGAGCACGAAGCCGGCTCCATCATGCTTGAGCAGTCGAAGAACCCGGCGGCTCAAGCACCAAAAACTCGAAAGCCCTAGGGCTTCCGATCAAAACCACGAAGCACTGGTGAAGTTAGTCAGAAGCAGGAGAAAAGAGGGGAAAAGAGAATATGTGGGTTTTAATTTAAATTCGCAGAAGTAGTAGGTTTAGGGTTTTGAATCTGAAAAGGAAATGAAAAGAGAAACGAAGATAACTTGATATTAAGGTTTTGATCAAACGAAACCCAGATCTGGAAAGGAAGAAGAAGAGGGGAAGAGAGGAGAGAGAAAGAATAAGAAAAGTTAAAAAAGTTTCACGTGGGCCCCATTAAAAGGGAAAGTTTAAAATGTGATAATATGATGTGTAAAAAAATATGCCACGTGTACAAAAAAAAATGCCATGGAAGCAAAATTTTCATAGCTGGATTTATACGTCATTAAGATTTAAAAAATCTAATGATTTTGTGGCATTTTAACGAGCCACCTGTCATTTAACTGACGGAAGGACCATTTTGGTACCGAAAATGAAAGTTCGAGGATAATTTTGGTGCTTTTTAAAGCTGAAGGACAATTTTGGTACTAAAATGAAAAGTTGAGGGACCAAAATGGTACTTAAACCTTTTAAGTAATTATTCTAAACATATTTTATTTTTTTATAAATGCATTTAATTTGAAAGGTAAAATATATTTTTGCATTATTTGGTAATATTATGTAATTATTAAATAAAGTAAATCTGTTTTCTTCATCTGTTTACAGGAAGATGAGTCTCATATGATATACGGACTGATGCCGGTCCGTATATTACCTCACAGTAGCTTTCCCCCCCTAGGTTTCATTTCCGGTATATACGGCCTTATATGCGGACCGATACCGGTCTGTATATATATATACAGACCGAGATCGGTTCGTATATGCCCCTGAACAACAGCTTTTCATTTTATTTTTTATTTCATTATTAAATCGTTCTACTATCGTTTAAAACCGTAACATTCCGAATGTTTGGAAACCAAAGTGGTTAACCTAAATAAAAATAATTAATTTTATTTCCTTATGACTTCGAAAGAGCATTACATAACATTATCTTTAATGACCTTTAACTTATACGTTCGTGGGTTTGCAATGATATTACTCCGTAGTATCGTAAGATAATTTCAGCTTGACAATCGATGGTTTTGTGGTTCCAAGGGACTGTAGGGTCGATGTACATGCAATTGGTTTTCGCAGGAATGGATTTAGAACACGAAAAGATGGTAATGTCCTTAAACGAAAAGAATAAAAATGTGCACTGGAAGAAGTTTCTGGATTTTTTCTACTATATTCGGACCAAAATCGGTCTGAAAAATGAAAAGCATGGAAGCATCTGGATTCTTTGCATATATTCAGACCAATACCGGTTCGTATATATTCATACTTAATTTAATTTAGC